ACTATGAGACATCTCTCTACGTGGGTGTATGTGTGGGACTTAAATCAATATGTGTGGATGGAGGAGAAGAAAAGAAAAACAACTTAGAAATGGATATCTTAAGTGACCCACGCTTTTCTTTATAGTTATTTAAATAGTAGTCTATAATTTATTTTCTACTTTTTAGTGCATTATTACATAAAAGCTTGTTATTAAAACGTTTTTTATGAATTTTTTTTTCAGTACTTTACATGTTTTATTTACAATAGAGTTACATGACTAAAAACCAACCATTACGCGCCTACTGAACGTGATGGCGCAGCTATTGAACGTAACGTGATGACGCAGCTATTGAACGTGATGACGCGTGTGGTGTGGTTGGCTAGACATGCCTACTAATTCGGTCCAAATTTTAATTAATTCATAAAAAAATTAATTAGGCATCCAATTAAGTCAAATTTAATTTCAGATTGCATTGTCTTCATGTTTTGACCCACGTGCCAAGTGTGAATCGTATCGGTCAAGTAGAAGTTTCCGAATTTTCACTCCGGCGTTTCGGTCTAGACAGACTGACGACAGACAGATGAAGTGAGTTAAATAAAAGCTTGTAAAAAGTAACCACCTTCCTCTATTAAATGCGTATCTTTTCCTCCTACACAATTCTAAGTATGGTGGGGGGGGGGGCTTGACAATAAGCATAAATAACTTTTATCATAGGGGAAAACGTTTTACTTTCTATTTTGGGTGATATCAAAACAATTTTGCCCTGGGTTTTGCTCTAAAATTTTGATAATATTTTAATGAGTCACCTGTGATTCTCTAAACCTCGCGGGTAGAGTATAACACACTCGCTCTGCCCCCCCTACCCCAACATTGCCCCCCCCCCCCCCGAATGAATGAAAATCTGAATGCGACCTTTATCAAGTTTGATCTTAGGTTTGATCTTAGGGGTATGACCACGACTATGTTTAGTAGTAACTACGTGTAGATTAACGCTAAATCTTGTAAAAATGCCGATTCTTGATAAAAATCCGTTTTCGATGACATTTTTTCTTTACAGTTGAGGGGGAGATTCGGTTTTGGTTTCGGTTTGGAGGAAAAGGGTCATTAAATGCCACAAAAAATACGATACATTTAACAAAGCAATTATAAGTTAATATCTTGTATAATCATGCAAAATATTTTTTTCATGATTAAATGAAAACACGCAAAACAAACTCGTCTCTTAATTCAAAACTTATTTCATGTGACTTTTAAAACAAGACGTCTTTTTTGAAATAATTAAAAAAACAATAATAGCTCCAAATAGCATAACAATAAGTTTGTTGTTCAGCGTACAACTCTACATTACAGTTGTTTACGTGGATGCTTGTTATCAATGGATGTCGCAATCCACACATCGACCGTTGCTCTCGATGTAGACAATGTTTTATTGAGTTTAAATATCGCGTTGGTATAAATCAATAGAAAATAAAGATATATTTTTGGATTGATACGACAGTTTTTAAAACAGCGCCTGCGCCGTCTTGAATCAAGTTTATCAGTTGACTTCGATAAGTCTTATATTACATGTTTAATAGTTAAGTAAAAAGTAGACATGGAAGAAAGGAGCTTTTTATAAAGACACATAATGTATTTGCATTTACATTTTAAATGAAATTCATCTTCCATCGCCCTTGCTCCATATTTAATTATTACTTTAGTAATTGTGTTAGTCATTACAAATAGGTATAAAAATACAGTAACATATTCAAAATGAATGTATGTAGAAAAATGTATAAATTGATGAAAATAGAATTTAGAGAAATATTCAATATAAAATTATTTTTATTTATACAACATCAGGAATTTTAATTTCGAAACATTAGCAGATTCAAAAATGATATGCATTATCAAGCTAAACTGACTGTCGGATAAAGCTGTTTGATCTTTCTATAAGATTTCAAAACTATTATGTATTTTTGTTTGAATAAGCTTGAAAGATCGTGAATAATTTGAATTTACTATATCTAATTAGGTAAAAACGAAAAAAAACCTATAAAAATACTAACAAAAAAAAGAGATTCTACTGAAGTATTTATGGCCTTAAATCTTTAATTTATTTGAAGATTTATTCATGCATTGAAATCGGTTAAACAAGGTTATGAATTTGTTAGAAATAAATGGCGTAATTTACCCTGCCCTGACTGAATCAATAGTGTATTATCCCCCAGAGGGGGGTGTAACCAATTCACACACATATGCGTAATTCATTGTTTTTTAAAATGACATTTATTGATTTATCCATTTGTTATTCCTGCATTGTTCAAGCTAGGCGATATTTTAGAAAAAAACTGAATTTTTTTTTAACGGACAAAAATATGTGTGATGTCGTTTTAGTTGTGGATATCTGAAGCCAAAAAGAATTTATTAGTTTATTTATTTTTATCTCAGAATCGCTTATTGGCTAAAAATAAAAATAAAAACATTGATTAACTAAAAATCATTTTTTATTCATCAATCAATACAGATATTTTTCTATACATTTAAATTTAATATAACATTTTTAAATTCCCTACTTTATGAAAGTTGGCTTGTTTCTAAAGTATTTTTTGAATATTTTAATATGCCCGATGCAGTGTGAATAAAAGTCAGAACATCATTTTTAAAAAAAAATTTGGTGGATAAAAATAGTTAGTTGATTATGAATTATGTAATTATGAATGCAACTACTCTTACTACGCCAAAAAAATATAAAATTACTCCCATTGGAAAAAGAGACGAAAGTAGATAGGATTAAAGGTATATTAATGCATAAAGACAAACAAACAAAAAACATTGCTTTTTATACGCATATATAGAAGATTTTCTTTAAAAAAGCATTAAACAGATCTTCCAGTTGCAGAACAGGAAGAAATTAATGTTTGTATTCATTGTGTAATGGGTTCCACATAAATGAAGTCGCACCCTGAAGGTGGAGGGCGGTCAGTCATTTTGTGACGATATGATGATTAAATAGATTTAATAACTATACTCGATATATACTTTCAGGTTGTGTTTATTTGTGAACATTGTGAAAAAATATTGTTATTTGGATTACCGTGTAATCAGTTAATACATTTTACAGTTTTCCCTGTTGTGTAATTTTTTTTTTATTTTCGGAAAAAATGTTCTACATTTCTGGCAGTACCTAAAAGTACCAATATATATATACTAGGCATGCTGCCCAGCTTCGCTTAGGCTTTCGAAAACATTGAGAATTTGAATGCTTAATTAATTCGCCCGAAGGTCGGTCTACGACCTCAAGAGTTATGAAGAGGTTCCTCGGTGGACATTTTTTTTGCGATTTATAGCTCATATAAGGTACCGGTCAGGCGAGGTCAGTTTTGACCCCCACATCGTAGACTTTTCGGCCAACCGGCCCCCGTGTTCTGTCGCACCAAGGCAAGATCATGCCAAATTTGAAGCGCCTGCGGCGCCGGGAAGTGCCCTATCGGACACCCGACAATCTAGATCTAGATTCCTAAAAGAATTTTTTTTTTAAGTTTAGCCCGAGCATAATAAAAAAGAATACATCAACCAAGTTGACTTGCTGTGTCTCGAACCCGCACCACCTGCGTGGTTTAATGTACACTAACATCTCCGCTATTTAGGCACCTTATAAAATACGGAGAATGAAAGACGTATTTTAAAATCTTAACTTACGCAAATATGCATATTCTTTCAAATTACTTTTTTTTTATCCCAAATTAGCCAGTTCATAACAAAGATTTTGTATAAAATAAATAAGTCTTGAAATAGTTTAGTCCTAATATAGAAATTTATTTTTGGAATTGATTTTAGAGAAGTTAGAGTCTAAATCTAGATCTTAGCGTCTACGTCTAGATCTAGTTATTGCGTAGATTTTGATTTAGATTTAGTCTAGATTTAGAATCTCTAGATCTAGAATCCAAATACATAAAATAAATTTTATGAGTTTAGGCCGGAAAAATTGTATTGTATATATTTCATAGTGTACGTAGATCTAAATCAAATTTGAATGAAATAGTTCATTTATTTTCATTCTAAACACGGCAGATGACGTCATTAGTTAATGTATAAGCAATAGTGACGTTTTATGCGTTCTTTTTCACATATATTAATGCTTTTCCGGTTGCATAAATAATACTGTTTCTCTATATTCGAATACGCCTTTATTTTTTATTTTTCTTCTTTAAATAATTTTGTGGTTATACATTTAAAACATCTAACATATTTTTTTCAACAAAAGTCCGTAAAAAGTTCTCGATATATCGCTGCCGATTCTGACGTGATGTCCGGCGAAAATTTTTTGCGGACAGAGAAAGAGAGAGAGAGAGAGATGTGCGAACGTGGGGATTTATATATTAGGATTTGGCACATTAAAAAATTACGTAATTAACTTTCCTTCAACATAATTTTATTATGCTATGCTTTAAGAGTGCCAAAATTTGAAGGCTAATGTGTGGCGTCATTTTTTTTGGGGGGGGGGGGGGAATGGGAGGGAGGTTATTTTTTGTTTGATGACGAAAAGTAATGGGGAGAAGGAGGCGTCAAAATCGTTTAAAAGAGCAACGTTATTGATAGATGAATATTCGTTACAGATGAAGATACGGACCACCAAAAATATTACTTTTGTCAGCAATGAAACAATTGTACTAAATAAACTACAAGGATAAAAAAAAAGAGGAAAAATATAATTTAGAATAAAAGCAAGTAAACCGAGAATGCCAATAAATAGCCCCGCATACAACTAACCTATTAAAAGCAATACATCAGTTTTGGTATCAAACGAATTAAATATGTGGCGATTATATATATATATATATATATATATATATATATATATATATATATATATATATATATATATATATATATATATAATCTAGGATGTATACAGGAATGAAAATAATATCCCAGTAAGATAGATGGTTCTTAGAAATTGTTAACATAACGTAGTACGATATTAATTTTATGTCATAACTTAATTTACAGAAAAAAACAAGCAGTTAGTTAGCAAAATGAAGCTTTTTGCAGCAGCTTTAATGCTCTTGGGCATAGCACATGCACAAGGTAACAATATATTTTACTTTTTCTTATATCCCTGAGTTCACAACAAAAGTAAGTTGGGAGATTGTATGACGAATGTTTGTATGAATTATATATGGCCGTTATCATACCTTTGCAGATTGTGGAGAAGGTTGGGTACTACGACCCAATACGGCTTTCTGCTATTACTTTGAAGGAAATTCGAGTTCTCGGAATGAAGCCTTAAGCGATAGCGACCCAAGGGTGGGAATAATCACTAACATTGAAGATCAGGTTGAACAATACTTTATATCAGGATATTACACTCAAATCTATGTTTAAAAATTGAGAAAATACTTTATTTTTTAGATTTTAATTATTCTATTTTGTTAAAAAATGTTACTAGTTTTATTACGATTCAAGACAAAACATCAGTTAATACATCTTGCATACAATGAAGATGGGTTTAAAACATAATATGGCTCATTTACTGATACTTTTTTTGTTATATATGTCTTGAAAATATTAACAGTCAACTTAGCTCAGTGGAATTTACCTTTATCTAACATAATAAAAAAAATTAAACCAATTTGTTTTCTGAATAATAATACATTTTAAAAAAATACTACGGATGAAAATAGTTCAGAAAATTAATTTATATGAATCATAAAAGTACTTTATTGAAATTTTCAGTAAATATGTATATTTTATTAAAACAAAAAAGAACACACGGCAGAGCAAGTTAGTTTGGCTAAAGTATGTGACTAAGAGAAGAATGGCAAATTATTCTGTCTTCCCACTAGCTGTGATTCAGATTCATTCCTCATACCTCTGCCCTCGTCAATTAGTAGTTTGCGGAAATTCGTGATTAGCATTTCACATAATTTTAACGAACGGATTCATTTTCACACTTGACACGATGCCAAGATACATTGAGAAAGCATACAAACTGATGTATTGATTTTAATATAACTTTAGATATTTTAAAAATCAATTGAAAATGTTTTTATCTCGATATAAATTGAGGTCTAACCATCTTTAGGTATGTGTAAGCTACACACTGTGCCTCTTATTCTAAAACATTGTAGTTAAGTAATAATTAAAGCTCTGGTTCAAATTGTTCATGCAATTTAAAGCGAAGGTTTTTATTTTTGTATACACAGATCTGATAAAGTCACAGCCAAGCGATGTTTGGATCGGTTTTTCTGACACTGTCAAGGGGGAAGGAGTTTGGCAATGGGACTGGCCGCTCTGTGTGGATTATACCAACTGGGATGCAGGTAAAAAGAAATATACAAAAAACGATTTTAATAATTAAATTAATGTGTTATGCGTGAATGTTGACTATGTAAATGAGACGTGCATATGCAATGTTTTACAGCTTGACCACACACCAAATTGAGTGGATACATTCTACCCTATATGTGTAACAGGTCAGTAGCAATGTTTACGAAAATCAAATGTTATGCATTCTGAAAGCAAAATTTAATATTGTTACTCAACTTTTAATTACTTCGATCAAAAACATCAACCTACTCATAATTTTCAAACTCATATTTAATACCGAGTCCAAACTATCTAGTTTTCCTACCAGGACAACACCGTTTTCTCCAGTCTACGGCACTCTCTTTTAAGCGCGTCACATTTTCATTCGTTCATTATACACCCGCACCAACATTCATTCGCACCAATTTACAGGCATAAAAACGCATCATAACAAATATAAGTAGTCGTTATTCGCAAAATATCTCTATATTGCTATTATCAAAGTAAAATCTTTAACTCCAGAACTTCCAGCAACTACTACCACTGATGGTCCAACGACTACAGCCATGACCGCCGAGACAACCTTGAGCTGCCTGATTCAACAACAACTGCAGCAACTGATACAACAACTGCAGCAGCAGATACAACAACAACTGCAGCAGCAGATACAACAACTGCAGCAGCAGATACAACAACAACTGCAGCAGCAGATACAACAACAACTGCAGCAGCAGATACAACAACAGCTGCAGCAGCAGATACAACAACAGCTGCAGCAGCAGATACAACAACAACTGCAGCAGCAGATACAACAACAACTGCAGCAGCTGATACAACAACAACAACTGCAGCAGCAGATACAACAACAACTGCAGCAGCAGATACAACAACAGCTGCAGCAGCAGATACAACAACAACTGCAGCAGCAGATACAACAACAGCTGCAGCAGCTGATACAACAACAACAACTGCAGCAGCAGAAACAACAACAACTGCAGCAGCAGATACAACAACAACTGCAGCAGCTGATACAACAACAACTGCAGCAGCAGAAACAACAACAACCGCAGCAGCAGAAACAACAACAACTGCAGCAGCAGAAACAACAACAACAACTGCAGCAGCAGAAACAACAACAACAACCGCAGCAGCAGATACAACAACAACTGCAGCAGCAGATACAACAACAACTGCAGCAGCAGATACAACAACAACTGCAGCAGCAGATACAACAACAACTGCAGCAGCTGATACAACAACAACTGCAGCAGCTGATACAACAACAACTGCAGCAGCAGATACAACAACAACTGCAGCAGCTGATACAACAACTGCAGCAGCAGATACAACAACAACTGCAGCAGCAGATACAACAACAACTGCAGCAGCAGATACAACAACAACTGCAGCAGCTGATACAACAACAACTGCAGCAGCAGATACAACAACAACTGCAGCAGCTGATACAACAACAACTGCAGCAGCTGATACAACAACTGCAGCAGCAGATACAACAACAACTGCAGCAGCAGATACAACAACAGCTGCAGCAGCTGATACAACAACAACTGCAGCAGCTGATACAACAACAACTGAAGTAACTGATCCCCCATCAACAAGGAGGAGTAAGTAAAACCCTTTTTAGAAATCACCGCATCGCATAGCAAAGAAAAGTCGTGCAAATATAATGTAAATAAATCTGCGGATATGTTGATATTTGATTTAGTCAAGCACGTTTTATTTTATTTCAGAAAAGAATTACAAGAAACGACAGTGAAGCATGTTTTTACACCGACAGTATGTTAGCGAAGAATTATATTTAATTTAAGGATTTCGCAATTTTTTAACCTCGAAAACAGGTTAACATGTATACGTAGCAAATAAGACATGGGTCTGACATATTGCACTTTTTGATATATATTAAATATTAGGCGCGGTTTCTGATAGACTAAAAATCTAAGAGGTTGGAAATAAAAATAAACGTGAAACAATTTTTTTAGCTTTTATTTTCAACTTGATAAAATATTGTTTTTTTCCAGCTTTTATTTGAAATTTGATCTTTTTTTTCTAAATACGAGCTGCTTGTAAAACCAACCCAATTATATTTTAGCATTGTTTTAGTCATCTTTATTGTTAATGTTATTTCAAATTTAGCAGGATTTAATTGTTAAATTCATTTTTGTTCTAATGAAGGCTAATGTCATATCGTTCACAAACAATTTCCAATTTGTTTCAATGATTCCTAAAATCTTTTCGTCTACAATGTGAAACCGTATGTTGCTATAGTTATCAAATATAAAAGCATATCATCATCATCTCGTAACGCCAATCCAATTAGAGCACGAGGCATCATCAATTTAGCGCCATTTCATCCTGTCTCTAGCTGTAACCTCTGTCACTTCTAATGTTTAACCGCTACAGCGTTCTAACGTTCAACATTATTGTGCTGGATCCCAGTTTATCATGTTAACAGTTTTAGAAGTCTTTATCAATATCTGAACTATTTGAAATTTAGTTTTTACTGGTTGTAGTTTCCGTAGCAATGTGTTTTTTTTATAATATAGGGTTGCTGACTTAAGCTATCCCTCCGTCTTCATCCTGACGGGGGACAAGCTGTAGGCAGGTGAAATTAAATATAAGTAAAACTATGAAATTAATATGTAGCTTATCAAATGATTTTGGAATAGTTTAACACATTGAAAATATATACTTAAATAGGAATTAAATGAACAACGTTACAAAATTACAGGTTATACACCGAATAGGAATTTTTGTCATTTTAAAGGTTTAAAAATAATTATTAACATTTATTTATTATAGCTCGTTTAGCAAAGTAACGCTTTATTAAACGAAAGAGGAGTTAATACAATTAGTTGCAACGGTTAACCCTTTCTGTAGTGCTTAAATAAAACCGTCATTCTTCTTCCGAAGTAATTAGCTGCCGTTTTCATTTGTGTTCATGCAAAAAAAATGTCATATTAATCTTATCGAGATGTTTCAATATAACTGTAATATTCCTTTAAAATATTGTGATTAAATAATACTTTATTTTACTCAAATGTAACTGATTCAATTCCTATTTTCAGCTTCTGATAAATTGTATGAAAGAAACTCCGCATGGACCAAGTCAATACAGAGATGTCGCGGTATAAATGTATTGCAATTGCCTGTCCAGCCTTGTAATCTGAGCAGAAAAAACAAACGTAAAAGAAGAACTTTATTATTTAGTTTTAGCAAATTCATTTTACTCAAAAATTTACGAGTATTTTTAAAAACTAAATTTCCGTTGTAACTATTTCAATTTGAATATTGTTCTGAAAGTTTCAGCGCATATTTCTCTTAAAATTCGTATGTTTTAATACAGATTTATTTATTTAGGCTTAATGTAATAACGTTTTAATTAAAAAATGTTTTCCTAATAAAGTTTCCTTCAATAAAATGTTTTTCAATACATTTTTTATATAATATTTTCTGAAGCATAAAATTGATTGTAGAAGACAACATATTTTTAATGCCACTGTCAACAACTGCGAGAACTCCACTACCAATGTACCCTCTAGTTACACTCTAGTATTTCATTGCTTAGTCTTGACAGGATATTTTGCAAATTTAAAGTCTTAGTCGGGCTTATTTATAATTCTAATATCAAAGAATAATCAATGACCAGCCAAAAATTCTCTCACTAGCTTAGATCAAACTAGTTTGCACTCCACAGCAATACAATTTAACATCAAACGTCCATATCTTCATTACGCGTCATAATTTTGTACATTGCGACAGATTTCATCGCAATAAAATTATTTTTACTTATCCTGTGTGTATTCGGCGCTCAGCTAACAACCCTCCACAAAAAATACTGCACAACAAAGAACGTGACTCTATACTTACTTCCCCATGCTTAAAATAACGAATCACAACATCCATATATAAATAAATGGCTGTAATAGACCAGAGGCGTCGCGAGGCGGAGGCCGGGGGTGCGGACCGCACCGGGTAACACCATATAGAGGGGTGACACCAAGACTAAAAAAAAATGCAAGATATGTAGAATAAATGATTTTTGCCAGTTCAATGAATGGTTAATTAGAGATAAAAAGTAGTTTCAGTACATAATGACGATCCCTAAAAGGGGACGGAGTGACATCATGAGTTGCCGCATCGGTTGACACCCAACCTAGCGACGCCACTGTAATAGACTATTGGGTAATTTAGCAATGGCCATTAAGGCAAGTTAAGAAGAGTCCGATGTAGCACATGTACCACGCATCCTATCGCCTTGGTTACCCAAGGTAAAAGGCATTTACGAGAAGATGCCTAAAGAAAACCTTGGTAATCCATTTGCGGAAGGGGACTCAACTCTCCTAGATGCGTTGATGTCCCCAGTCTAATCTGCCAAGCTGTTCGAACTGGAGACATTACGGATTACACATACATGTATCACTGTTAACACCAACAAAATATTAACACACTTTATTAATATACTTTTTCACACAATACTCATACACACAAATCCCCAACACACAGTAATCCGACACACACTACTCCTACATAAACGTCCACACACATTACTTTTACACACTCCACTCCTCTTACACACACAGCTGCATCTGTTCACCATACAAATGCATCGATTTTGTTTTTGATATAATAATACTTTGCAAACTAGTGTCATAATGTTGTCTTCAGATTTTCACCCTAAAAAAACGGTTAACCCTTTATTTACGGAATTATGTTCTGAATGAAATTTTTACTCAAACAATGTGTTACTATATTGCTTCTGGCACATTCAAAGCATATGTCGAAGGAAATTTCGTTTCATACATTTTTAATGGCCCAAACATATATTGGTACTTATAAGTACCGTCAGGAATGTAGGACATTTTTTTCAATTTTATTTTTTACAAAACACGAACAAACGATACAATTTATTAACTAATATCATGGCAATCATTATAGCAATCACTTTTTGTAATTTTCACACATAAATACCGAACAAAAGTATATTTTGAGTACGATTTTTACTGGATTCTCTATCGGAACACATCTTAGACCTCAAACACAGCAAATGTTACCGACATATCATGCTCCCTCAATCTTGTCTGTGGTCTTTCTGGTGTAGCAACGGTTGCCGGAATGAACATGCTTTTGCTGGAAGCTTCCAATAACTAGTACCATGAGCCGCATAAACAAACAAAAGCCTGGTCATTCAGCACGCAACTACTAGTAATGCTAGTATATTGTAGCCTACTAGAATGGTATAACAAGTCTAGACTACACGTGTAAAGTTCATAAATAGAAGTAAGCTCAATGTGTTTAGGATAGCGTAGTGGCCTACTCTTTTCAGTTTACTGATTAAAATTTACCTTATAGATCTATACTATATGCAGAAGTATAGACTATTACTAGTCTACAGGTATACATTACGTAAATGCTAGTTGTTGTAGGCAAGACAGTTTATTGCGGTAAATATAACTAACAAATTAAATCTTACAACTAGAATTAGGCTTTGGTATACAAATGAAGTATACTAAACCTTGTAAACGAGCCTGCAAATGATACCTTTATTCTTGTTATTTTTTTACTACTAGAAATTAACATGTAATTACAATATTTCTTAGGTAAACCATATGCTAACCTTCTTATAAATGTGTAAATATCATTTTTTTGAGTACATTTCGATAATTAATTATCAAGACAATATTTATGTAACTCCACATAAAAAAATCTGCCATTTTCTAAAAATCCAAAAAAATGACCGTGTGCCCTGACGGTACTTATAAGTCTACTGGTAAACATCGATCTAATACAAAGACAATTTGATTAAAATTGTATAACTAGAGGTTAAACACGTTTACCTGACTATTGAAGGTGCCAATAAAAATATTTGGGGTTGAAAACTTGAAAATAAGGTAGAACAAAGAGAATTCAGGAACGTGTGTGAGAAATGTACAGAACAACTGTCAACAACCGATACAGCAAGACATTGAAATTGGCGCCACACCAGAAATGTTAAAAAAAAACATCGATCCCTCCAACTACCGGCGACTCAGGGGAGATAATACTATTAATTACATCAATAATTTTTAAAATTCGTATAAGTACCGTCAGTAGCTAAAGGATGAACTCTACTTCATCAGCCTCATATCTCTTGGGCAGGAAAAGATGGTTATGATTGTGTTATATGTGTTCTAAACCAGTTTCCGTTGCTAGTGTTTAGTTACGTTATAGAATGTCACAGCAAAGGTTAAGACTAATGCTGCAGAAATATCTGGCAAAAACAAATTAATAACGCCACTGACAACAATATAAGGAGAAAATCTACTGGTTTCCCACTATATACGTCAGAAAAATGCAGTGTATTTCTATAGTTTGAGAATAAAGAGGAGTCCTGTTTAGAAAGTTCCAGAGTTTAGGTAGTGCAGCTAGATGTTTGCTATCAAAATGTTCATCTTCTTGTGAGTGATTCAAAGTTGGAATAGTTATGACGCGTGTGGATAGACTGCCTACTAATTCGGTCCAAATTTTAATTAATTCATAAAACATTAATTAGGCGACCAATTAAGTCAAATTGAATGTCACAATGCATTGTCCTTATGTCATG